GAATATATGATATATCTATCTGTTCACAGACACACACACCACAGAATATATGATATATCTATCTGTTCACAGACACACACACTTCGCATGCGCTGGGTACTCACTCAATCCAGGTAAATCCTAAAACACGAATGCATGATCATCAGCACTTTGACACTAGCGCTATGGTCTGGGTGTCTCAGCCTTGTGTGCACTCCCCTCGGGATGTCCTGTCCCCTTACCTCCTCGTTGGACCGGTCCACTTGTGTGAAGGACTGGTGCCTGGCCAACATGCGCTGTCTGTTGCGGCGTGCCACTTCCTTCTTACGCTGCTGATCACTGTTGACTGTGGTGACTGCCTTGTACGCACTCTCCGCTGCAAAGGCACACAATGGCGTAGCAGTTCAGCGAAACACAGGGGATAGAGTGTTTAGGGTTTAGAGTTTTAATTTTAAAGTTTAGGGTTTGGGGGTTTTAATGATTAGAGTTTCAGTCAGTAGCAATTGAACGCAACACTAGGAGTAATGCGTTAAAAAAATACAAAAAGAATGCACATACGAAGTCACCCACCGTACACCTGCCATGCCGTGGTGCTGCACCACAGCAGACTCAACGGCCGATGTGTATGTTACGTGTGTTTGCGATGTGTGTGTTATATGACACCTCCACTCACCTGTGTTCTTAAACCACCCTAACGCAGCGAAGACTTCCTGCTTGACGTCTTTGTCGTCGCGTGCGGGTGTGATGGTGTGTGACGGCGTGTGTGTTGATGACTGTGACCCTGTGTCTGACGCATCCGACCCACTGTCGGCTGTCCCGTTCCTGAGTTTTGGGACTGGATTTGTCCTGGGCTTGGACTTCTTCTTGCTTGCGTGCAGCTTCAGCGCACCCAGAAAGTCATTGAGGTTGCCCTGGTGGAAGTGAAGCACCTGTGCATGCGCAGGACACACAGTTGTGCGGGAGAGTGGCAGCCAGCGATGTTAGCACAAACCACACAGCTCACTCAGACTAAAACGTTAGCAGATACCACACAGCTCACTTAGACTAAAACATTAGCAGATACCACACATCACACCAATACTAAAACGCATGAGTTTGTTGTAGAGGCTCATGGTTGCACACGCAGCAGGTGTGTAGACGAGGGAATGTTGTGAACATGTGCGTGACTCATCTGTGAAGACGACGATCACTTCTAATGCCTCGAGAGGCACACGCCATGCCCAAAGACACACCTACAGCCACTGGGCCAATAAATCACAGCCACAGCCACTAGGCCAATGAATCGCAGCCACAGCCACTGGGCCAATGAATCACAGCCACAGCCACTGGGCCAATGAAACACAGCCACTGGGCCAATGAATCACAGCCACAGCCACTAGGCCAATGAAACACAGCCACAGCCACTGAACCAATGAATCACAGCCACAGCCACTGGGCCAATGAAACACAGCCACAGCCACAGCCACTGGGCCAATGAACCACAACCACAGCCACTGGGCCAATGATTGCACATGGCTATGTGATGTGTGTTCATAATATTAGCTCATGCACATGTCAACATATTATGTGACATACACATGCACGTCAAGGCTTCTGGTTCGATATGAAATGCATGTTATATATGTACACATTAATCTGTCACAGTCTCGTGCACCCATATGATATCTTCTCACAAATACATTCCCACACAATCAATCGCACGTGCGTGTGTGTGGCCCATTGCTTACCGGCAGAGGATCGCTTGCGTCGTAGGTGGGCGTGGGCTGTATGCGCAGATACCCTCTGTCCAGTGCCTTGTCCACAGGTGTTCTGGCCTTGCCCTGTACCACCACTTGTTTGGGACTGCTGGCCCCTTCGTTGGCGCTCATGGCCCTGTCCACCGGTCCGCTGGACTGGCGCGTGTGGGGTGTGTGTGGGGCATTTGGTGTATCCAGTGTGCTGTGTGGTGTGCTGTGTGATATAGTGTTGGTGGGTGCGTGTGTCCGTTGGTGTGCGGGTATGTTTGATGGTGTCCGTTTGTGTGCGTGTGTGTCTGTGTGTGTGAATTTCTGCTCAGCTGTGCTTGCTGCCGTTGGCTTATGTAGGTACAGTCCGTGTGCGTCGCGGTGGTACTTCAGAAACTCAATGTGCCGAACTTCAATGCGGAACGCGCGCACCGGAATGAGACCTTCTGATTGGCTGAGGTTGTTGTTGTTGTTGTTGGTGTTGGTATTGGGCAGTGCGCGTGGGGTGCTCTTGGCGCGTTCACTTCTGCCGTGACTCTTTATCTGTGTTTCTTTTGTCTGTGTTTCCTTTGTCTGTGGTGTGTTTGTCTGTGGTGTGTTTGTCTGTGGTGTGTTTAGTTGTGTTTCCGTTGGTTGTGTTTCCTTTGTCTGTGGTGTGTTTGGCTGTGCTGTGGTGTCTTCCGTGGACTGTGCAGCGGCGTCTGTATTTGCGGTGTCATCTGTGGCGTGTGTGCGGGTGTCTGTGTTTGCAGCTAGGCTTTCTGTGGTGATTGCGGGGTCTTCTGTAGGCCTCGTAGCCATTGGTGCACCCGTTGCGTCTGTCGCCTGCTGTGGTGCCTGTGTGTGTGTGGGTGTAGCTGGTGCGTTGGCGTTGGTCGTATGGGCTGTGGCTGCAGTGGTCTGTGCCGTTGCTATGGCTGCAGTGGTCTGTGCCGTTGCTATGCTTTTGACCGATGGCGTAGACATGACACGGCGGCGCCGATTGGCGTTGACGTGTGTGGACGGAGGCACCACCTGCGCACAGAAAAGGACAGTGAGGAGCGGCAACAACAGCACAAAGTGTGTGTGTGTGTTTATCTGTGTGTGTGCGTGTGTGCGTGTGTGCGTGCGTGTCCGTGTATGAAATGGTATACTTCTATACGATATGCCACTCCATCGGCTGCCATGGCTATTCTCAGTGGCCGTGTTAGGGCTTAGTATTTTCAAGGTTTTGGGTTTCGAGGTTTTAGGGTTTTAGGGTTTGAGGGTCTAGGGTTCAGTGCCAGGGCTTACCTCTTTGTCTTTTGTGTTGGTCTGTGTCTGTTGTGGCGTGCGCAGTGTCACTCGTTTGGGCTCATCACTGTCCACTTCAGTCAGCGCTTCGTAGAATGGCAGCACTGGCGTCCACGTGATCACCTGCACACGGCATGTGAACAAAAGGATACGTGTATTACAATCAGATGGCAATAGAAACCAAACGTATGGGGCAGGTGCACAGATAGGAATACGAGCTATGCACAAGTAGCAGTAGAAGCCAAACGTGTTTATCAGTCACAAAGATAGGTATATATATATATATATATATATATGTATATATGTATATATATAATAACATAATAATATAA